GCCTTGGGACCGCTTGCTGGGCTGGGCGGCTTTGCAGTCTTTGGGCAGAAGCGTTGCTGTGGCAGCGGACCGTTAGCTGCCGGTATTTCCAGGTGATGCTGTGTGTAGAAGCTGCAGCAGGTCGCTTCAGTTGGCGCAGAGTTAACTGGTTGATAAAAATAATAACAAAAAAGAGGAGGCAGTGATTTTGGAATTACCACGTGACCATGAACGCTTTGAGCAGCCGTCCAAGCCTGTGGGAAACAAGCTGTTATGCAACTCTGACTTTCCGAGCGCATCTCAAATGTGGTTTAATTCAGTTTTGCAAATACACACGATACGTCAGCAGAAGCAGCTGTGATAGAAGCCCAGGTGGCTACCGAAGGACAAAGTCCTTGCTTTTTGCTGCATCCTCCCCACCACAGCTTAGCTGTAAGTCACATTGCAGACACGTGGGAGCTGACTCCTTGGAAATGGAAACTAGAGGAAAGGGAGGACGGAGATTTGCTACTGTTGCACTGACCTTGACAAGTCATCCCTGTCCTGTCGTTGCCTGGTAGCGATGCCTCAGTGTCGGGTGTTAACTCTGAGCCGATGGAGGTGGTCCTCAAGGTGTTCAGGTTATGAAACTGCTGCCCTTGTTGATCCCGAGGCTGGACCAGGAGGTAACAGTGTTGTTTGTTGCTGCAGACCTTCACCTCAGCTGGGGAACCGAGCTGGTCCCCATCCAAATGAGAGGTTACCGCAGAGCGCTTCAGTTTTTGGCAGAAGGCACCATCTCCAGTGGGAGCTGTGGTCTGTCCCACAGCTTGCTGGGGGTTCAGCTATTTATGGAAAGAGACAGATGTGAGGTTTGGCACTGCCTTTCTCCTAAGCGCCCTGAACTAGCAGGATGCACTTAGCTGTCGTCTGTTGCCAGCTCTGTATTTGTTGTTTTGTTTGCTTTGAGCAGTGATTTCCTTTCTGGGGATCACCTTTGCAAAACAAAACAGGCGGTTTGGCCAACAGCTGGTGGTGCCCAGCTTTTCAAGACTGGCTTTTTCTTATGCAGGCTGGTGGAGATCAAGCAGACTCTCATTATCTAGGGGCTGAGGGAGGAGAAATAGGATCTGCATGTATTTATGGTTGGGCTCTTGCGTAGAGGTCACTTCTGTAGCTGTGTGTCAGAGTGTGCCATCCCCTCCGGTGTCATGTTGGCTTGATGCTGTAGCAAAGCCAGCGTACAACCGCTGGAGTTTGTGCTGTATCGTCATGCATCCACCATCTGTGTTTAATGCAACCTGTCTGAGGCTGACGTTAAGCTAGAAGCGTTGCGATATCATGTTCGCAGCACTGCAGAAGTTTATTTCTGTCCTGGTGAGCATCCACCGTAGTTTTCCATGCTCTGACTGAACTACCACCCTGTAGAGAACGTGCTAGCCCAGGCAGACCGCTGGCCCCTGCGATGTCCTGAGGCTCATACGCATGTAGCAGTGGCCTTACGGGGTGGGCAGCGAAGCATATCCTTTTAACCAGCAGTTCTTTCCTCCCTGTGGGCTAGCAGGACTGTGAGGAACCTCTTCAACAGCCTATTTTAATTTCCCAGGAGAAATAATTCACAGTATTTTCTAGTTTTATGGTCCGACATACAACAGTAATGAAGGGAGAAATGACAAAAGTTTCCCAGAGTGGTTATGTCTTTAAAGAACTTGGTTTAGCCGTGGAACAGTAGAATAAAGTGTGACTGATTATTTCTTCTTGCCCTCCACCTTTGGAGTCAAACGGTCTGGCTTATGGCTTCGCTGACAATAAAGGGAAGCTATCTGTGGAAGTACTGCCAAAAGTTTCTGTTCAAATACATAGACTTCTGCAGAATGGTGATTTCATATCAGGAGCCCAAGAGACTTGAGTCTATTAACTGCCAATGCGGGTTTTTGTGGGAGCGAGGATGTGAATGCAAGGCTCTGGTAATGATGCTGCATTAGGATTGTTCGAGAGCTGTACTGATGCATAGGAAAGGAGGAGTTTTGTTGCTAGTCCGTAGGCTTGTTTCCTCCGGTGCCTTGGAGGAGTCTCATCTGACTGTGCCTTGGGAGCCAGCAGCACCTTGGATGTGTGCAGATCTGTCCCTTGTCAGGCTCTTGTATCACTGAACGGCTTCCCAGGGCATGGCAAGGCATCCTTGTGGCAAGGGGGCTTGTGTGCTGCACGCTCATCTTTTTAGGTTATAAAAGAAGCAATGGCATCGGCCCAGAGCTGAAGGCTCCCTCCCGCACTGGTGAATGTACGATGTACAGAGAGATCCCAGCAACATTGCGGCAGTCGCTGTGGTCTCAGCGGTGTTGAGCCAATCATCCCCCCAGAACTCGGCTGCTCTGAGTAACGCCTGCAGGGACTCGTTTCCTCTCCCTCGCTGCTCGGAGATTTACACTTGTGGAGTTCTCCCAGCTTCTTGCTGAAGCTGTATATTTTTTTCTTGGTGCGGTGGAAGTTCACCTCAGTTTAGGTTACCTTGGGCCAGGATCGAGTTCTAGAATCAGATAAATGCCCTGCTGGTACTGACCCAGCTCCGGTTCCCCTTCTGACAGCAATGCTGATGCAGGAATGGGATGAGGCCAGGACAACTACGGCTTTCTGTGTCACGAGGAATGTCTCCTATCCCATGTAGAGACCAGCAGGCAGCCTGAGCAGACTGCAAAGCTCAGACATTGCTCTCTTGCCTTCTATGTCCGCTTGTCCCGAAGGAGACGGAGCTTTGGACAGTGAGTCCCAGCTGTGGTAGCCAGCCCTCTGACAGGGCCTTGCCTCCATGTACGAGCTGGTTTCCAGATATCTTCTGCAAAGATGAAGGCAGGCACGGTTTTGTGCCCAGGAGGTGATGTGAGATGTCCTGCTGGGTGCAAACCCTGGCTCCCGGTGGGAGGCAGGGGATCGCTGCTGGCTCTGCCAGGGTCCAGCTGCCTGGTGCCTTTCAGATGTGTAGGGACTGCTGGGGACAGGGGTTTCATGGAGATAGGTCCCAGGGTGGAGGGAGAGAGGATGGTGAAGCAGGCTTGATTGCACAAGGCAGTTTTGTGCAAGAGGAATTGTCCCCTGAGAACAGGAGAAGTGTAGCTGCTGTTGTCCCGAACCCCAAACCAGGTTAATCCAAAGCTGCAAAGCCTGGAAGGGACTGTTCCATGGGGCAGCTCTTGGTTTCGGGCTGAGTGCCTGCAGAGACCCCAGGGCACGTACAGAGGCTGCTCTCTGGATGATGAGACAGCATGTAGCCGTGCGCTTCTTGGGCTAGTACACTGCTGGTGTGGTTTGAGGACTGTCAAAGGTTTTCACACTACTCTGGGGAGGAGGGGTATCCTCACTGCCTGCCTTGGACACAAAAATCGGGTGTCCTGGGTTGGTGGAGAACCTGGGATGTTCATTCAGCTTCTGCATTCAAGGGGAAGGTAGGCTTTGTAGCCCGAGGCTCGCTGTAGATGATTCAAGTTAGAGATATAAAGTTTGCACAGTGTGAATACTCCCACATCTCTCCTGAACACCTGAGGGCATTCAGGCCTTGAAGATTCAGCCCTTATCCCTTCTGTAGGCTGGGACCTCCTTGGAGAAACTGGGGCTAGTGGTGCTGCCCTGAGGGGAGCATTGGAAGCACCGCCTGGATGGACTCTGTGGTGCGTGAAACCCTCGCTATGCCTCCATTTCTGTAGGCTGTGAAATGGGGAAGCAGAATTACTGAACTGTTCTTTTTTTTTTATGAGGTTCTTTTCTGTGACCTTCTCCTTGCTGTAGTCACAATGTCTCCCTGTGCGTATTCGTCGCTGCGGTTGGGATCGTTGCTGTGCAAATGGCGTTAGGGGCTCAGGCACGGAGAGTGTCGGGTTGGCTGGCTGCTGGAGCTTGGTGGGGGAACGGGGAAAGTTTGCCATCCTAGTCCTGTTTGCCCAAAGCTCAGCTGGCAGCGACTGGAGTGGGACAGGCGATGTGGGTGCAGGTTGTAGCAAGACAGAGCTGTCAGGAGCATCAAGCTTGTTCTGTTTCTCAACCATCTCCCGCTGTTGTCCCTGCCTTCTGGCTGTGCACTGCCTTCTGAGGTCCCCTGCCCTGTCAAGTCTGTCCCTATCTCTGTCTCCGTGATATATTGCTGTTACCGTGCTCCGAAACAGTGGGGTAAGATCACCGTGTCGGTTATATTTCTGTCGCAGACGTGCTGGCCTTGGAGTTCATCGAATCCCAAAGTCAGCTAAACTCGCTCAGCTAGAAAGCTGTGCTGTTGTTGGCAGATACATATTCATCAGGCCAATGGTTCTTTTTAATTTTCTTCCTTCCCTGCTTAGCTTCATTTTTGCTTATGAATTGTCTTACGCTTGCTTCCATTAATGGGAGATGTATTGCCTCTGTCAGCCTCTGAGTAATAACCAAACTACCCGCAGTGTCCGCAGGGCCGATATATCTGATTGTGGCACATAAAATAGCCCGGTGAGTCCCATCAGCCTGCGATCCGGCAGAAGCGAGGACCAAAACAGTACTTTGTTAAATAGTTGACTTGAAAGGCCGATAGTGCTGCGTTGTGCTTGGAGAAGCTTGTTCTCTGGCCTCGGTGGAAGGAGGGATGCTCTCTGAGTTTCCCAGGAGCGATTTGGCTCTGAGACCTCCTGCTTGTTGGTGTGAACTCTGCTTGGGAGCAGCCAGTGTTGCACTAAAAATGGTACCACAGTATAAAATCTCGCTCTGCTTTTTCAGGTAGATCCCAGCGTCTGGCAAGCAGTAACACAGTCCCAGCAAGTCAGATGGTTGGTTTATGGTAGGCATGGTCTGTCTGGCAGCCAGCGCAAGCTCTAAGCTGTGTGGCCCCGGTAACCCAGCTGTGCCCAGCCCTCGTATGCCTGATGGCAGAGCTACAGTCAAATCCTGGCATCGGTTTTCACCCTCAGCCTCGCTGGTCCTGGCCTGGCTCATTTAAATTTTTTTCTCCCCGGTTTGCTGTCTGGCGTGTGAAGCTCTGCGGAGCAACTGGAGGCTTCCCCTTAGGGAGATCTCGGTGGCTGTGCTGAAATCGGGCTCGTTTCATTCCCACACGTTGCTGAATTTCCTTCTTTTACTACACCCCTGTGTTTTGGTTTGAAGGCTCAGGATGCACTCTCCTCCCCTGCTTTATGCCCCTCTATAAGATGCAGACCTCAACCATCATCTCTGCTCTCAGCATTTCGTTAATGCCCGTCCTCGACGCTTTGGTAGGGAGTGTTGAACCAGCAGCGTGCACTGGTTGCCAAGAAGGCCAATGGGATCCTGGCGTGCATTGAGTGTGGCCAGCAGGTCGAGGGAGGTTCTCCTTCCCTTCTACTCTGCCCTGGTGAGGCCCCATCTGCAGTACTGTGTCCAGTTCTGGGCTCCCCAGTTCAAGAAAGATGAGGAGCTACTGAGGAGAGGACTGGAGCATCTCTCCTATGAGGAGAGGCTGAGGGAGCTGGGCTTCTTCAGCCTGAAGAGGAGAAGGCTGGGCGGGGAACTTCGG